TTTGTTTTTTTTTTTTTTTTTTTTTGGTAACTAGGGATCGAGCTCTGGTCCTTGTGCTTGCGAGGCAGGCAGCGGAACCACTGAGCTAAATCCCTAGCCCTTATTTTTCTTTGTCTTAATGGAGTTTACTAGTTCATGCCTCATCATAATTTGCAGAGAATGTTGTTACTCTTCTTTTATCATGTTTTCTTTTAATCCATTTTCCAGAATGGAAGCAGAGACATTTGAAGTAAACCTGAAAGTAATCATATTATAATCCAGTAAAATTGTTGCTCCTACTTAGAAGCAACAGAAGTTCATGTAATTAAGCTAGATTAAGCAATATAAACTGTCTTTAAGGCTGCCTGACACAGTGCTCATAGAGCACAATAGTTTTTAAGAACTCCCTGTCGTTCAAAAATTGCAGTTGGTATAGGCTAACAGTTCCTTTTCTTCTGTTCTATGAATCACTTTTCCTTAAAAAAAATATCAGAGTTAAACACATATATGCAGACACACATTTATTTGTTTGTTTGTTTGTTTGTTTGTTTGTTTATTTCATTTTGGGGGCGGGTACTGGGGACTGAACTCAGGACCTTGACTTGCGAGGCAGGCGGTGGAACCACTGAGCTAAATCCCTGGCCTACACATTTATTTTTCAAGTGGTTATATAGATTAATGAGTTTTCAATTTGGCAGATTTGTAATATATTAAAATATATGTGTTTTAAGGAACATGGGCAAGGAGAAAAGAAATTCTATGCTTGCAATTTTTTGTAGTTCAATTTTATTCCAAAATAAAAAGTTTATTTAAAGAAAAGTAGTACCTAAAACAATATCAGGCATAGAGGAGTCATTCAGTAAACATTATTGCATGATAAAAGTGTGTTAATAAGAATGTAGCACAATATTATTTAGAAACTGTCTACTTGAAATGTAAATAGGTACAGTTTTTTTATTATATTCATTAAAATGAAAGCTTGTGCTTCCCCAAAATTCATACATTGAAATTGTAACTTTCAAGTTGAGAGGATTAAGTGGGGCTTTTAGGAGTTGATGAGGCCATGGATAACCCTTTATGAATGGCATTAGTACCATCATAATTTGATGTCCAGTGAAAGCCTGTTTTCAGTCTTGTAGATGGCGCTTCTACTTGGGTCCTCAAATAGTGAAGGAAGTGAGGGGCTATAGTCTAAAGGTTCTTATCTCCTAAGAACATCTTATTTGCATGGAGATGGTGTGTTTTTAATATACATAAGTCTGTGTATTATAAATGTATTACTTATATATATACTTTGAATTGTATATGCTTACATATTTCTAGTATATAGCATATGTAGTAGACTATATCTTAGAAATATAAAACAGTAAAATAATGTATTTAAATATATATTATAGATTGCAAATTGTCTTTATGAGTGGTAGCATACATTAGTAAATTTGTTACTTCAGGTTATATATTATTTCACATTGAATAATTCCATGTGCATATTACAATCTGCTTTAGTGATCTTGCCAGAGTTACAATAACATAGGTAGTAAAAATGTTTTATTGTAATGTAAGGTCAAGGTTGGTGAATTTACCTTAAAACATATAGAAGTAATTATTTCAATCCATAGGTCACCTAAAGGTGGAGGAATGTAGTTACACTATTTATGAGAGACAAAGAATGAAATTTTCAAAGCTTGGTATTGGTAATGTTCTATTTCTTAAGCTCTGTAGTGAACATCAGACATACTTTTATATAAATATATTTGCACATAAGTTCATTTATATATTCAGAAGTACATGTGATTTGTTTACATTAAAATTATCATACTCAAAAACACCTAATTTTGTTTTAATAGAACTATGTTTCATGTAGTATGTAGATTACATCCATACTAAAAATTTATTCAGTGGTTTTGTTAAGTTCAGATTTAACAAAAAATCTTGCATTTCATATAGCAACTCTATTCACAATATATATCATGCAAAAATTTCAACTAATTTATTTGTGATTTTGGCAACCAAATATCACAACCAGACAACCCTTGCTATTGTTTTTAGCCACAAGGAGTAATGTACAACAACCCTCACCATGGGCAGGAATATACTCTATTTTTATGTAATGCGCTACTCTTAAAAATATGGTGTTCACTTACTTTATTTAGAATTTTATTTGTACTTAGATTTACAAAGGGGTTTGGCTTGAAATTTTCTTTTCAGTTCTTATTTAATTGTAGTATCAGAGGTTTAGAAAGCTATTTGTTAAAGACATAACTTATACAATTTTCCCAAAAGATGCTATATTCTCAGTAGTGAAAAAATTGGAAATATTCTCTGCTTTTGAAGTTTCAGGAGAGGTTTCATGTACATCGAGTTTATGGAACATAAACTGTCTTTTTTGAGTATGGTAGAGTTCTAAACATTAAATATTGTCTCTTATTTCTGATATCAATATTTAAAATTCAAATAAAAAACACAAAATGACACATATACTACATTTCTTTTCAGTTATATTCTGCAATTATCATTTTAATATAACATTTCCTATAGTAGAGCTATAGTAGTAATTAAATGCTCTATGAAAATAAATTCTGCAACAACCCTGAGTACTAATATATCTGAAATTAGCAAATACTTCTTAGTTCTATTCTTATTATGTGTTATCTGAACTTCCCCATGGCCAACCACGCAGTGGAGAAGTGAGGATTACTTGTTTATGCTCCTTCTGAAACTGAAAAAAACAACAACAAAAAAAGCAAGCAGTAAAAGTGACTCTGCACATTGTGTGTGTTGGTAACTGCATTTTGGGAAATTAATGTTCAACAGATTTTATTTAAACTGGTTGGTTCTCCTTTTCTCCTTCCTCCTACTCTGTCCTCGCCTCAAATTATAAGCTTCATTCAGAAAGTTGAAATAGAATAATCCCAAGGGGAAGGAAAGCCTTTGAACGCTTCAAAATACAGAACCAAACCTTTTGGACTGAAGGTAAGGGAATGTTTTAATTCTTTCCCTCTGATACATGACCCCATGAAAAATTCTCTTTAGGAAGGAAAAGGAAAAAAGAAAGAAAAAATAGCAGGATTTGTAAGGTGCAAAGTACCAACATAGTGCTTTAAGGGTCAGTAGTGTATTCCATGGGTAGAATCCTTCAGCCAAACTGGGTTTCATTGGCTAAGGGCCTTGTCGGTTGATAGCAGGACTGTTCCGTGGCAAGTGGCGAGTGCTTGGAGGGAAAGAAAAGTAAAATAAAATAAAATAAAGTAAAATAAAATAAAAGATGTGTCAAATCCATTCACTTACATTTATTTTTCAACTCTATGAACAGTCTCCAATTAGCATTGTTACAAATAGCAACATTGCATTGACTTAATTTTTATCATTACATATGCCTTGTGTTCTTACATTTGACTTTCACTTGCTATCCACATCATGAATCATTTCCACTTCATAAGGCCCTTTTTCACTTTGCTTCTTTATCTTGGCTAAAATATTATTTCTTTAGAATTTCAGTAATTTCTTCTCTTTCCTCTTCTATGTCCTGCCATCAACAACTGAGGTACAGGTTTAAAGTTTTAATTGGCTGATTTAAATTTCAAGGTGAATTTAGATCACCTAAACTAGCAGGTTTTACTCTGTAGTTTAAATTATACATGATAGTGAATAATTTTATTAAGGACCTACGTTTTATGACTGGCCTAAACTCACACTGTGCTTTTTGTTTGTTTGTTTTTCAGTACTGGGGATTGAATTCGAGGATTTTCACTTGTTGGGCAAGTTCTCTGTCACTGAGCTGTATTAAATCCCCACACTTGCTTTTAAATAAAATATTCAAAAGCTGTTGGAGAATTTTTTTTCTTAAGATAATATGGAAATATGGCATATGCCTGTAATTCCAGCACTCCAGAGGCTAAAGAAGGAGTTTCATGAATTTGAGATTGATCCTGGC